CTCATCAAAACGCTAATTCTTTTCTATATTATGATAATGCTTCACCAACTAAAAGAATCAGAATTAAATTGTGAAAATTTCCTTCGAATTTCTTGTGGCTTTCAAGTCCGCCTTTCTTCGAATGTAACATTTTCATTTAAAGACTAATCTTCACTCCCACAAGGCATAGTCATTTAGACCGCTCTAAGAACGTCAGGTGTCAGCAATTAAACACCTTTCCTTTGAAACTCGCTCTGCCGCTCCATCAAACTAATAACTTTGACACGAGATCTCTTCAAACTCAATTCACGATTTTCTTCTTGCGCAACCAAAAGTGGATGTGAAACAAAGAGCATCATGACCTTCTTAGAAATCCATATCGTCGACCATTTTCTCATAAACAAGCTTGACACCGTAGCAGTTTAAAGCGAAGTTTAACGAATTAATTTATTTTAAAAATTTCGGGTTAATTAAGGACATCTTGAGTGCGATAATTTTCCTTTGCTCATAATTTTGTTGGATGCTTTTGAAAGGGAAAACGCCAGTGCAAAGTGCAGCAGACCAGAGTAGGTAATCATTGCAGTAGAACCGTTCAGTTCATTATGTTATCTCGCTTTTATCTAAATCCAAAATAATTAAGAAGTTGGAGAATCGATTAAGCAATTATGCAGTTCACTCACAAGAATGGAAACATCCTTTCGTATTTATTCCTCGAGATTTCTACGGTAATTAAGTCGTTCTTACTTAATGGCAATGCAAAAAAGGACTGCTATCTGATTTATGCATTGTTTCAAATTACAGAGCAGTTTACCTACCGTAATTGTAATTAATTGATTAATTGAGGTTCGATTCAAAATAAAATGAAAAGAGAAACGTTCTTACGCTCAGGATTTATTAACAGAAATGGTAACAGTATAGTTTTAATAGAAAAATACTCATGTACAAAAATTGCCTAAAGTAATTTAGCAAACATGAAATAATTAAAATAATCCAATTTTTACTGTACTCATCCCTAATGTACGTGTTGCTTTTTAATAAAATGAAGACATATTCATAAAAATGGCACTTCTAAAACAATTGAAGAACTGTAAAAACTGTGAAATAAAAATGGCCGACCATTAACAATATAGTAATGATAAGCATTGACTAAATTATCTCGTTCGTAATCTAATTATAATGAATTTTCTTTACTAAGAAACTTTGTTCAGACCAGGGTACATTTACCTGCCGTTTCCTTGAAACATTAAGTTGGAAATTCAAATATTCAATTTTGTTGGTTTTTACAAATATTATATGTAAGTGGTTTAGGTATAATTTTAGGGTATCCAACTTTGCAGGTAACAATATCTTTAAAATACTTTATCTTCAAGAACTTAAATAATATTGGAAACCAGTTGGTTAGCACTTTCACCCCTTCCTCTATCAGGGTGGAGATTATGTTATAAATAGGCTGACACACTCATAATAACAAGACATCAACAAACAACAATTAGTAGCATCAGTGTATCAAGTTCAGGGTCTTCAATATATGTACATACATTTGTAGTAATAACTGTATATTTGTAAATAAATTTACTAAGTGCAGTTATTCGTGTTATTCATCAGTGAGGTAAATTATTTGCACTTACAATCCTTCCAAAAAATTCGTGTGCTCCCTCATAGGAGAAAGAAGTGGCGCGGCAGCGCAAAATAAATAAAACAAACTTATTACTGTATTCTTGTGTTTTTAAAAACACTCTGTATGAATAAAGGACCTGAAATCCGTCGGCGACTCTTTCCATTTCGTTAGCAAAGTTCCTTGTAAAGGCTCATTAATAATTTCGGTTAATTTGTTGGCCGATGATTTCCGAGATAATCCTCATCAGGAGAACCACACGGTCGTTTTTTCGTAGCCTATTCCGCGCAAAAGATGGCTACATTAGCATTATACATGTATATTTATATATATATACATACAAAAAAGGCAAACGAGACCATAACGACAGCGTCGGCATTTACAATGCGTTATCGTCGTATACTCATCTGCAACCGAAATAAATAAAGACGTTGCTGAATTATACGATTAAGCAATTACACCGTTCGTCCGTGCAAAAAATGAGAAGAAAAAAAAAAGAGCGGGGACCGACGTTGACATGCGCCCCCGTTCCTTCCCCGCCGTCGATTTCCAGCAACCAGAACCGGAATACGAGGTAATTAAACGATGGATCCCTTAATTGACAACCAAGAGAGTCCGTTGTCACTAAGTCGTCAGATGGAAATGTGTCATCTACTTTATGAAGTACTTGCCGTTTTTATGATCGCGATACTGCCACCGAAACCCAATTTACTGACCAAAAACTCGAGTTTTATCTACAGTTGCATAATATCCGAAATAAAACTAAACGCTTTAACTAAAGAGGATCGTATTTTATCCATATTAGTGCCAACGATATCGTTAGTTTTGAAACAGGATTTTTCAACGTCATCGTTTACCATATTGAATAGCTATATCTCTCGACACGAAAGAACCGAAGATTCGGGCTGGATTTTTTCAGAATTCAATTCAAAAATAACTTCTTTGTGGTATACTTTATCTGATTCTAAAAGATCCTCAAAGACATCTCGACTTCTCCTAACCCGTTGACTGAAATTCAGATGAATTTGTAATTTAGAGTTACAAACACCATTAAAGCTCTTAAAACTCTCGCTCCTCCCTTGCACCTATCAACAATTCTCATCAGTTTCGCTTAATCCTTTTATTTGGTCTTGGGATCGGGAGATAAAGAGCATGTCAAGGAGAAGACACGTCCTCCTAGGTGGAAATAATTGCGAGGTAGCTGCGGGAATCGATGGCAGTTTAGAAGAAGCTCAAAGTGCGAACGCCGTAAATAAAAGTGTCCAAGAAGCCTGACGGCTACCACAATATCGTTTGGAAAAACTACAATAACAACAACACCCAGCACGCCCTACGTCGCGCGGCGCCTTCGGTCCCAGTTTCGAGATAACGCCGCGGACGTCGGGGTTTCAATTTGTACAAGTCGTGGTCGTCCAGACTTATTTATTATTGAAGGATGAAAGAATGAGATAAGGACGCCCTTGCTTGCTCGCCGCAATTCCCATCGACGACGGGTCTCTGTATCGAGTGAAATTTAATTATCCGGAACGAGAGGCGTCCGGTGTCCATATTAGATGACCACAGAAGATGGTTCGAAAACGGTAATTATCGTTAATAGTAGGCGGACGTGATTGCTAGATACTTGCATTGTTTTCATTTTTCTCATATGCTTCAAACACCGATACACACTTACTTACCATATAAAACTCTATAGTGCAACGATGAAGAACTAGATAATATCGTACTGGAATGTTACCGGTCGTAATATTTTTCCACCGTCGATTCGAGGAAACAATTACGGATTTCTTGAATGTCAACTGTAGGCTTTTAGAAATTAGCTCATAGAAAATCGTTACTACGCGTAATCCTTATTAGATGATCTATTTGTATACATATATACATAAACTTCTGCTTTTCCAACTGACCAAGAATACTACTCATTTTATTCATAGGTACAGAAATGTAAAGCAAACTATTATAGGGAATAATCCCGAATCATTTTGATAAAACTCGCAAATCACTTGATGAATCATGATGCAACCTTCGCTGTCGTATTTCAGTATTATCAGAGTAATTAGATACTTATATCAACTTTTGTTAAGTTTTGTCTATGATTCAAGAACTATTTTACAAATTTCGATAGTAAAATTGGAAAAATAAGATCAGAACTAGAATGGAACTGAGGGTTGGTGGCAGAACTAACTTTGGTCTCAAAGCCTGAGTACTTTGGAACAGCATTAGACAGGGCTCTGACATAAAACCCACACCACTGGAGAGAGTTCACTTTTTAGCTGACATCGCCAGGGGGTTTGCAGAGAATCTGCAACTCTTAAAGAGGGACTCAAATCAGGCAAAACAACGAACCAACCGGTCTATAATCAAAAACCGATCCATCAAACACTGAAGTCAAGGAAGAGCTTCCTGAGATTGACTGAAGATTTAACCAGAACGAATAAGTGGACATGTGGAAGCTGCGAGTCAACACTGGATGGAGTCGGCAGAGGAAGTAGTACCAGACGGGGAAAACCTGGAAGACACCAAACAGAGGAGCGCTGCAACATCGAGAGGTACCCTCAATAAACAGGGTCACCCTGACCCTCTGAATTCTAACCTCTGCGACTGCAGTATCTGTACACCTCTCCACTGGGCCCCACCCAATAGTCCTTGGAAGTTCTGATGATCGCAAAGCCAAATGATTGACATTCCCCATTTCTGGACAAGGAGTGTACAAATAAATAAGAATAAGATAAATGCCCATGTAAATAAATTTCAGCTATCAATTTTATTAATTTTCCAAGAGACTTCCCGAACATATTAGTACATGAATCCACTCGAAATAACTTTTTAGACTTAGAGCGATTGTAGTGATATGTGCAGGTACATTGGCAGCAGTTAGGATCCTTGGTGAATATCGGCATATCGGAGGCACAACAGAGCAGTTTTCTGCAAAAATATGTCTCGCTTATCGGCAAATGTGTTTTATGGCTTTCCTTGTGGCAATTCTTTGAATTGTTCGTCGTGCCACAGATGTATACACGTATGTTAGTGTGCGTATAGCTTGTCCACGACACGGATGGCAAAGAAGAAACCTAAAGATACCGCCACCGGACGCTGACAATCCATTATTCATTGTCGTCTTCTAAATGGAACACGGTGTCATTCGCAAACAAGTGATGACTTTCGCTCCACATAAAACTTGATACTGATGAGATAAAACAAATGCGAATTTATAATTAAATACAATAAGAATAAGAACGCTCAAAGTACGTAAGTTATTCAGTTGACAAATTGTTTGCGGAATCCATAAGGCTTCCAAAGTGCGTTTGTGTACAAATACCTCTCATATTATCATATTATTGATTAATTTTGATCGATGCAGTAGCAGAAAAGGGTGAAATCATACATAAATTATTTTCTTTATTTTCAGACGTCCGTGGTGAGCGCCAGCACCAACAATCTGAGCAAGGATGGCGGCAGTGCTAGCGACCCTTGGTGGCTGGACGACGAAGACTCTCCCATACCCTTCGACGCGAGCGAAGGTGGTCTGTGGTCAGGCAATTTTTTACCGCCTCCTCCACGACCAGTATTCCTGGACGAAGCTGCCACCCCCGACGGTCTAACAACTTGTGATCTTTGTTCTTGGGCTTGGAAAAACGGCGGCAGCAGTGGCGGGTCTTTTTCCGTTGATACTGTGATAGGTAAGTCAATCAAATTTTCTGGTAGATAGTTGCTATTGCGCCCAATTCAATTAAAAATTGTGGGGTAGGTTCGTTATAATAGTAGGAACATATATGTTCGCTGTCAGAAATTTATCGGAAGTACCAGACGCGGATCGCGATTTCGATCTTGTTAAATCTCATCTTCATCATCATCATCATATTTTGAAATGCCCACCCACCCGAGATAAAAATGTTCAGTCTCTCAGAGTATCTGAAAGCGAGACTCGATTTTTCGTCTCTCATCGAGTCTCTCTGGTGTCGCTGAGAGAGACTCGAGTCGCTCATAGAGAGATCCTCATTTCGTATCCACTCTCTAAACGAGAGACTCGAATCTCTGAACGAGAGACTCGAATCTTTCAATAAGTGGTGTCTCGATAGACATGGTTAAACTTTTCTAAGTTCAACATATTTCAGAGATCCCAGTCTTTCTACGAGAGACTCGAGTCTTTCAGTTTTTCAGTTTATTCATTCAGTCTCTCTGTGAGAGACTCGAATCCCTGAATTAACAATTTCATCGTTCGAGTCTCTCATAAAGAGACTGTAAGAGATCCATAAAAACACCTAGGCAATAACTGAGAGACTGTGAAAGACTCTGAGAGACGCTCTCAGAGACGCTGAAAGACTCTGAGAGACTGGAGAGAGACTGAAAATTTTTGTCTAGGGTAATAGCGAAACACTGCCTTTCTTTGGACATTGTAATAATTCCGATTTACTAAATAATATTATAAGTATTAAAATTGTTCTCGTTAATTGGATAAATACGATCGATATGCACGAAAAAATTTACTTTGCAGAAATACTTTTGTTTAAACCGTGTGTGGTCTACATGTAGAGAGATGCCACAGACAAAGAAGCAGATGATGAAAGAATGAAACAGAGCGAAGATAAAAGAGAAAACCACTCGGACAACGATAGCAACAGTTGTGTTCTTCATGACAGTGAACATAAACTGGGCCTGGTGTTTGGAAAACGCCTAACATTGTAGCAGATCACACATTGAAAAATCTGTTATCTAATTTTTTTTTAATCCAAAATAAGTAGTTATTTCAGTACATTTTTTGTACTATAGGGTTGTTCGGAAAGTCATTTCGTTTTTTCCCGACAGAGGATTTAATTGTATTCTTTTGGACCCAACTTCACATTTAAGCCGTATAATTTTTATATGCTTTGAGAGCTCATATAGCAAGGCTTGTGTGTGAAAAATTCCAATTAATTCTACGCAGTAGTTTTTGGTTGGTGCCCTTTTAAATATGGAGAGCGATAAGCAGCATTTTCGACATATCTTACTGTTTTACTACAGAAAGGGTAAAAATGCTGTTCAAGCCAGAAAGAAATTGACTGATGTGTATGGAGAAGGTGTGTTGACAGTACGCCAGTGCCAGAACTGGTTCGCTAAATTTCGATCCGGCAATTTTGATGTCGAAGATGCACCACGTTCGGGAAGGCCGGTTGAAGCTGATAAAGACGCGATAAAGGCATTAGTTGATGTGAACCGGCGAATAACAACACGTGAGATCGGATTGAGGTTAAATTTATCAAATTCAACAGTTTATGACCACTTGAAAGGCCTGGGATTATCCTCGAAGCTCGATGTATGGGTTCCCCATGTTCTCACAGAGAGAAATCTGTGTCGCCGCATTGACGTCTGCGATTCGCTTCTCAAACGTCACGAAAATGATCCGTTTTTGAAGCGCATCATCACTGGGGACGAAAAATGGGTTGTATACAACAACGTCAAACGCAAGAGGTCATGGAGCAAAAAAGATGAACCGGCTCAAACCATTTCCAAAGCCGATATTCACCAAAAAAAGGTGATGCTGTCTGTTTGGTGGGATTTTAAAGGAATCGTTTTTTTTGAGCTTTTACCGGATAACACAACGATTAATTCGGAAGTCTACTGTCATCAGCTGGACAAACTGAATGATGCACTTCAACAGAAAAGGTCAGAACTAATCAACAGGAAAGGTGTAGTGTTTCACCAAGACAACGCGAGACCTCACACAAGTTTGGTCACTCGCCAAAAGCTTTTACAGCTTGAATGGGATACAATGCTACACCCACCATATTCTCCAGACCTGGCACCATCGGATTATTATTTGTTCCGGTCACTCCAAAATTTTTTAGACGGTAAAACCTTCACCTCAAATGAGGAGGTCAAAAACCTCCTCGATCAGTTTTTTGCCAGCAAAGACCAAAAATTTTATGAGCGTGGAATTATGCTACTACCAGAAAGATGGCAAAAGGTGTTGGACCAGAACGGTCAAAATATAATTTAATAAAGTATTTGTTTATTATACGAAAACTGTCTTTCATTTCCCCAAAAAAAAACGAAACGACTTTCCGAACAACCCTATATTTGTAATGATGGTTTGAATTTTCCGAAAAAGAATCGTCTTAAACAAAAGCATATTCATTTTATTCATTAAAAAATGAGATGAAGAGATCATCTTTATTACATAATATAGAATAAATTACCGTAAAAATGGATTCACTATATAATCCCTACTTACAGAATTGTCTTCCGATTTATGGCATAGAAATTGAGAATACCGAACAAGACAAAAAGCTCGCAGACAAAGTATGACTAATGTGAAGTATTGACCGTAGGGCCGTGTTAATTAGTCTCTGTCTGTTCTTCGGTGCCCCTTTTTTAAATTCGTGATAATAACACACGAAGCTCCTGACCAGGCGACTGGTAGGCAGAACATAAGTTAGTAAACGTGTGGTTCACTCTGATTACCAAGGTCAGTCGGAGCCACGTTACCCAAAAAGCTTTTCGCTTCGAAATTAAATCTTCGGGAATAACTTAATTTATCCGCGTCCATCCCGGGAGGCCCCACGCACCGCCGTGCAGTGATGCGAGAATCGCGAATTTCTCGGCGGCATACTACGTTATCCCCTAGCGTCATCGAGGAAATCGAAGATGGTATATCACTAATTAGCTGTTTCTCACTAAACCTTGCGCTGAATTAGTGTTTCATTTTTAAACACGAACAAGACCGTGCAGACCATCAAACCCCATTGCACTCTTTACAAGAACAAATCGGTTCAATAAATCAATACGTAGCCCATGGTGTTGATAGCTTTAATTACTTAAAGATAAATAATATGTTTTAATACTCTAAAAGTATTTATTTACAGAAAAATAATCTTGAAAATGATCGTTCTTTCGTAAGTTTGTTTGGGTCACTTTGGTATAGAAGGTTTTGAGGAGGACTTAGAAAACGAATGATTAAAACTAGACAACAACAACATATATTTACAACTTAACAACAACTGGCGTAGCGAAAGGAGAAGAGAAGAGACTTGTTCTGCTGAAGGCGTAAGACGAACTGTCTGGTATTTTATGACAAATGAAAAACTGCTCTACAAGGAAGGAATAGAGAGGGTAGTAGATACGAGTAGGGAAGCATTAAAATATGGAAACTTTAAGATTAGAAATACCAAGAAATTGATGGCCGGTCAACCACCGAAGAAACCGATTGTAAAAATGTAATTAGGAAGGAATGAAAGGTACAGACGTCATGCGGTTAGTACACAAAAGATGAAATGTTACAGGGATTATAGGAAAGTACAGTAATAGAGTTATTTAAATAGATAAGCAAGATACAATAGATTATTTACAAAAGGAAGGAATTTTTAT